ACGTGATGGTTTACCAAATTTAGTTTATGTGTGTTCAGAATCAGTGGAAAAAGAAGAATTTTGTCTTTTTTAAGCCTGTTAAGTCAAAAATATTTTAGACAAGAGATTTAAGGCAAAAAAATGCAAAATATATAGATGTCACACACAGATGATGACTGAAGAAGTTAGAAAATCAATTAAAATGAGCAGAAGGAATAGTCTATTTTTTCATTTAATAATTGTTGCTGATGTAGTTTTCCACGCTCTTTCTAATCGTATATTTAGACTTGAGTAGTGATCACGTTTAACGGTCAAAGAGCGCGTTTTAAGTGAATTTCATGGTGGTATCCATAATTTTCAATTTTGTGACTTTTGACAGCACTTTTTTTAATTATTCTTTTTTCATTAGAAAGCTGAGACTTTACTCTTCCGAGTGGTATATTTGAAAGATCCGGCACTACTAGAGAAATGTCAAAAGTCATAGAGAAAAAAAGGGTCGGAATACTTTTATCGCTCCAAAAGGCGATTGAGTGCAAAAGAAGACTCATTACAGACTCATCTAAGATCGTTAAAATTGTTTCAAGTGGACAGAAATGTAGAGCAGACTTCGCTCTATATAACGGTAAAAAAATAATTTTCTTATCTCTTTTATTTTAAGAGATAATGAGCTCTCAACAGAAGCTTCTAACAGTGTCGGAACACTTCTTACACACGCTGTACATGCTCAAATACAAGTTAAATGTCTTTTTCTTTGTAAAATTAAAGAACCTTGTAAAAACGCCGCTACGAATCTATATAATATTTATGGTATTCTCACCTCTAAAGCTACTTATTAAAGAAAATGTTGATCCTTTCAGTCTAAATATTCCGAAATTTCTCTCATGTTTTAACATATACTTTCATATGTAAATCCTTAGCTAAAACACAAGATACGAACACCTCACGAAGGACCATCGCCAACTGCCCAACTCCGATTTCAATGATCTTTCGCCGAGAGATACTATATAGTGTCCTAGTGATAATCTTAAAAGAATCTGGATGTATAGCTCTTCGTTCAAAAGTTAAGAATTTTTTGGTTTTCTCGACTCGGAGCCTTGCCTATATTGTAAAAAATTGACAACTCTGTAGTAAATAGCTGAAATGTTTTCCTGTGGCATAGTTAGATGTCTTCTATCACACCAGAAAACTATTTTGTGAAATCTAAAAACCTAAAATAAAATAATAACTGATCTCAACGTGAAATACGCTGCAACTGAAACAGGAACGGGAGAGTAACATAAATAGAGACAGAAGAAGGAGCTGACTAAAACATTAATGAACGTGATATTGGGTGAAGAAATAGTTGAAACAAAGTTGTTTTTCACACCAGCTACAACTAATGAGGGTTGTTTCACTGCATTTGTTGACACTACATGAATTATCGATCCATGTGAAACACACTTCTTTAACATTTTTGAAAAATCATACAACTCAGAGACGGAAAGAGCTAGGAGGCTGAAATTTTCTGTGCTAATAAAAGACATCTAACTGTGCCATAGGAAAACATTTCAGCAATTTACTATGCTTTTTGACAGAGTTGTGAATTTTTTACAATATAGGCAAGGCTCTGAGTCGAGAAAACCGAAAAATTTTTAAGTTTTGAACGAAGAGCCATACATCCAGATCCTTTTAAGGTTATCACTAGGACACTATATAGTATCTCTCGGCGACAGATCGTTGAAATCGGAGTTGAGCAGTTAGCGATGGTCTCTTGTCAATTTATAATGTTTGTCATAAACAACAAAATTGAATATTTTCTTATTTAGTGCCTTCATTTTCTTTTTCTAATTGTCTATTGGAGGGGATACAATTGTTAAAAGTAGCGAGATGCCTATTGCAAGTAAGCTTATTTTCAACGTTTTATATGAACGAGTTAGCAATAAATAATTTTAATGGTTTTAGGAGATCGAGTTGAGCAATTACAAGTACAAAAACTTATTTATGCTGTCAGAGTCGAAGATTATGAACAAGTGAAAAAATTATGTGAAAAAGGTGTTGAATATTTAGTGAATTATAATGATCCCCAGTGTGGTTTAACAGCATTGATTGCTGCTGTCACAGAAAATAATGAAAAAATGATACAGTATTTGATACAATTAGGCGCACATCCCGACGTGATTGATTTCAAAGGCCGTACGGCTATGATGCATGCTGTTGAATACGGCCATGTTAATGCGTTACAATTGCTCAAAGATGCTAAAGCAGATCCAAAAATTCAAGATTTAGAAGGAAAAGGTATGAAATTTAATAACTAAAAATCTATAATCGAATATGAACGATTCTTCGTCTCATTTAAGATGCTCTTTATTATTGCTTTACTGAACCAACAAATCGTCACAAATTATGTTTAAAACTTGTGTTAGAAATGGGTGGTGAAGTGAATAATCGATCACGTGATGGTTTACCAAATTTAGTTTATGTGTGTTCAGAATCAGTGGAAAAAGAAGAATTTTGTTTAAATTTGATTCAGCATGGAGCAGACGTTAAACTCGTCGATGAGGTTAGAGGTGAAATAATAGAAGATTTAAGTAATAATATTATTATTAACACATTCTTTGCCCATTTTTAGAAAACAAAACGAACAGCTCTTCATAATGCATGTCTATCTGGAAATGCAAATGTGGTTCGAGCTTTGCTTCGAAATAAAGCCGACGTCAATGCTTTAGACAATAAACTTTCATCACCAGCTCATGAAGCAGCAAAAGGAGGTCATCTTGAGGTATACATTTGTTTCTTAGTAGTGAATATAAAGATATATGAACTACTTCTAAAATTTTACCGCGTTATCTATCATTTATCTATTTATGTCAGTTTATATACTTCTTCCATTGTAGGTGATACAAGTATTATCAGGCTTTGGCGCCAAGTTCGACGTTTATGATACTTTAGGTAATAATCCAATACATTATGCAGCAGGTTCAAATGCTGGGAATGCTGTGCGATTCCTTGGCCAAAGAGGTATGATTATAAATATATGTGACGTCTGACAAAAACTTCGAATTGTATTTTATTTTACAGGTTGTAATCCAAAAGCAAAAAATTTAGAAGGACTTATACCAAAAAAAATTGCTGATCAAAATAAGGCAAAAGATGCAAAAAAGAATATGCGTAAAGCCGAAAAATTTTACAATGATACAAATGCAAATTTACGTCCAGGTAAAGTATCTTATTTAATTTGAGATGTCGCATAGTGTTCGATTGATCTTACCAAATCATTTATTTTATTTGTAGAAATGAACGAGTATCGTGATTGGAAATTATTATTATATGATTATGTCTATGAACATAAAGAGCGTATTGAAAAATTATTTGACGAAATAGATGAAGCGAAAACGGGATTAATTACCAGTGATCATTTTAAAAAATTTCTTGAAGATGACGGTTTATTAACATTGTTCAAACCAGACGATATTAAAGATATTATAGAAAAACATGAAAAAGAAAGAAATGAATTTGATTATAAAACATTTTTGACCGGAAAAAAATATATAACAAAACCGTACTTAATGTCATCATTTGAGGGCAAAAAGAAGAAGAAAAAAAAAGCTAAAAAAGGCAAAAAACAAAAAAGTGTATTACCAAGTGAGTGTTACTGAGCGTACTAAAAATTAATTGTTGAAATTTAATTTTTTTTTATGTAGTTGCCATTCAAGATGAAGGCCCCAGAACAAATGGTGGCAATCCTCCGCTAATATATCAACCACAACACATTCATTATACAGATAATACCAGATTTTCAAGAGATAATCCACCGAAACATGCGCTTCAAGATGATTGTAAATATATCTTTGTTTTTCAATAATATTCCTTGTTTGTTATAGTAGTGTTGTCTTTTTTGCAGCACCATGGTATTTAGATAAACCAGATATGGCATATGTAAATCTTTGTGATGCAGCTTACAGAGGTGATTTGCAAACATTACTGGACGCTTACAAACACGGTGTTCCAGTTGATATTACTGATAAATTCATGAAAACACCGTTAATGGTTGGTAAGAAATATCGGTGAATGTGTGTCAGAAATAAGTAGATAACGGTAGATTCTCATACTACCATATGTACTACGGTAGTTCAGGAATTCGCTGTTTCTCCTCTAATAAAAAATTTCTGCAATCTGGTTTTCTTTAGCTTGTTCACATGGAGATTTAAAAACTGTTCAATTTTTATTAACATGCGGGTATATGTTATGAAATCACATTAAAAAAATTCATTACATCTATCTTATTGTTTAGAGCCGATATTAATCTTACCGATAATTTTAAGTGGACAGGTATTTTAATTAGATCTGAAACTAAAACATAGCTGAGATGTGAATTAAAAAAAATATTCTAGCTTTACATCATGCTGCTCATTCTGGACAAATTGATGTTGTTAAAGCAATTGTTGACGCTGGTGGGCAAATAAATGCAGAATCGGTGACAAAAGCTACTCCCTTGATGCGTGCAATTGAAAGTTCGTCATTTCCTGTCGTTGAATATTTAATAAATAAAGGGGCCAAGGTTGGACATGAAAATATTTCAGGTGCATTTAAATCCGAAAAATGACTCTCTTCTTGTGCCTACACGATATAATACTTCTTCTAGGTTTGGATCCATTAACAGTGGCTGCTGAATTTGCAGATCCAAGAATTTACCATTTGCTCAATGAAAGGGTGAATAGTATGCCAAAGCCAAAAAGTGCGACACAGAAGAAGAGTACTTCAGCTTCTAAAAAACGACCACAAACAACAGGAAAAGCAAAATCAGATGCTGTATGTATTAGTAGAGATAAGTATGTGCTAACAACAAGGGATATTTATATTTGGTATTTTTTTCAGCATTCTGCTGGCACGGTGCAGACGACACAACGAACACAACCACGACGTGGTTCTCTATTACGCGCAGCTGCTGAACTAGCAAAATCATTTGATAACACTGAATCAATTACATTTCATCCAAAAACAAAATGGACTGAACAACCGTCTACTCAAGATATGATTCGAGAAAAAGGCATATTACGTGAACGATTTGGATGGGAAGTGGATTTTCACGATTTTAAAATGCCATTTATGGATAATGCGTCAAAACGTTTAGAAAAAATGACACTACCTGATATCAAAATCTAATATAGAAAAAAGTGTTGTGAACTAAACGGTGGAAGAAAAGTCAAATTATTTTGACAATGCTTGTTCTCTTTTTCTACGTGCTGTTATAATCCTATTTTTTATTAACCTGTTATTAGAGTCAGATTAAAATACTTATTTTCTTTTTTGTGAATATGGGGTAAGTGCCTTTCTTTGTTTTTAACATATTTTGTGTAATAATCATTGTACGTGTATTTTAATGAGTTGCGATTATGTCGGAAGGTACAATCGTGACTTGTGCCTTAATAGAAATGGTGATGGATGTGCCTTCCAAGTGCTGCTTTTATTAACCGTCTTTAAATGCAATCTTCCTTTTACGAGCTTCATTGCCTTTCTTTGTGTATTCTTCTTTTTTCCTAAAAAATTTTTGTTACGCTTATACATATCTTTGCTGATATTTGTTTTCTGTGGATTTTTTCGTAATTCTTTGTAGTTTACAATAAAAGTTCAAGATTTGAGATATTATAACGGTCAAGATTCTTTGACCATGTTGCGGGCAGATGTGGTCACATTCCTGCAACTTTATTCATGGCTTTCTTTCTGTACAATGTAAAAAACACGAGTGGAGTCTTATAGATATCTGTCTCAATTAACTCGAAAATCTTGTCCTATCAGGCTTATTCGTTTAAAAAGGTGAGTAATATAATAGAATGTTTTATAATGATAGACAAATGGCTATTACTATCATATAAACTTCAATTAGAAGTATCAAAACTAGGTATTCTATATAAATATATTAATAGGAACTATAATACTACTTAGGGCATACCAAAAGTACCGATAGTGACACTTTAATACCGTATAGTAGGCTTAAAGTAACTTTCGTCTATATAATCTGATAGAGAAAAAAAAGTTCTGTCTTTCTATGCTATTTGATCGTACTTCAACTAATATCATAATATTAAATTATCTTTAAAACCTATTTCGGCTGATTATGTGCTGTTCTATTCATACTAATTTTGAAAAAATACGAGTGAGTATTTTTTGAATAACTTTTGATAGAAGCAAGATAGAGAGCTGTGGTTTTCAACGTTGGAAAGAGGAGATGAAGACGCATCGAATCATATATTATAGGTTTTCTTGATCTGTTTTCTGTAAGGTTTTCAATTGGCCTTTTTAAGAACAAACATATTTGATAAGTTGTTTACAGTGAATTTTCAATTATCAAGTGTAAGTTCAACCCACTAATTGAAGACCTACAAAGTGCGGAAGGTTGAGATGAATAATATGCATTTTAGTCGAGCTTCTAATAGAATTTTCTAGCAAAATCTATGAAAAAAGCTCACTTTTGTGCTTTTTCCTTTTTTCATAAAAAAAGACACTTTTCCGACACTTAGAAAATTGAACAAAAATACTTCAGAAATCAATATTAGAAAAGCCTATAATATATGATTCCATGCATCTTCATTTCCTCTTTCCAACGGTGAATACCGCAGCTCTCTATCTTGTTTCTATCAAAAGTTATTCAAAAAATACTCACTCGCATTCATGGAACCGTGACACATGCGAACAAAACAGATCTTATCAAAATTTTATTATTCTTATATTAGTTGATGATCAAATAGCATAGAAAAATAGAGCATTCTTTTCTCTATCAGACTGCATAGAAAGAAAATTTCTTCAAGCTTAATATACAGTATTAAAGTGTTACTACCCGTACTTTTGGTATGCCCTAAGTAGAAAGCAGAAAGTGATAATGTACAGTAAGCGCAACAATTTTTCAACCACTCATCAATTGTACACAAACGCAAAATTAAATTATTTGTTGGCGCTATACCTATAGTAGTGTAAACTTAAGCTTTAAATATGATATAAATATTGATCATAAAATGCCATTATACTTTATATTTAATTATGTATCTCCAATAATAAAGAAAAAAATTTGTATATTACTACCAAGTACTATGCACTGAAAGTCTTGAGATTTTCGAAGAAGTATGAAGCAATTCAATTAAGCTGTATATTAGTATAAGAAAAGCCGTCCGTCATGCCAATAGCACAATCGAGAGTTGAACAAGTACAAATACGCAAATTGATATATTCGGTTCGTACGTCGGATTTTATCACTGTGAAACGAATATGTGAAAAAGGAACGAATGGTATTATTAATTATAATAACCCAGATGACGGTATTCACTTGTTTTAATTCGAATACTTTATATGTTTTGACTATTTTTTCTCTTTCTTCTAAGGTGATACACCACTGATGACCGCTGTTTTACGAAATGACGAAGTTATGATACAATTTTTACTCGATTTAGGTGCAAATTGTAATGTTACTGATTTTCAAGCAAGTAATAATCTACTTTTTCTATTGTTGACACAAAACGGATGTGTTCTAGAAGTCCGAATTATTATAAATTTGCAGGAGAGAGAGAGAGAGAGAGAGAGAGAGAGAGTTTATTGTGTTTGTCTATCTACAAATGCTTAGAAAGAAATTAGAGATACATCAATATCTGAAATTATAGTGTATATTTATTTGTAGCGTCGAACTCCGTTAATGAGAGCTGCTGGACATGGATTTGTTGAATCGGTATTAACGCTAATTAATGCCAAAGCCGATACAACTATTCGTGATGTTAACGGATATGGTAAACAAGACAATCTATAGATTCTTTTCACAAAATTTGTCCTAACAGTAGACTTTGTTTTTGTGTTTTTAGATGTCTTATTTTCCTGTTTAAGTGATGGTTCTACTCGACAACAAGAATGCTTCTTTCTAATATCTAAGATAATTACTAATTTTGATACAAAATCATCGAAGGGAAAACCATTATTAGTTGCTGCCTGTGAAAAAGCTATAACAAATGAAAGATTATGTCTAGAGTTGATTAATCGAGCTGCCGACGTTAATATCATAGACGAAGTATTACATACTGATGTGTATATTTGTTATATTGAAACAAATGGACGTGCGTGTTTTTTTCAGACAACAGGACTAAGTCCATTAATGGCTGCTTGTGAATCAGGTATGATATCGATCGTACGCGAATTATTGAAAAGAGGTGCAAAAGTGAACGGACGAGATAGACAAGGACAGACACCGGTGCATGCTGCTGTCAAATCAAGAAATTTCAATGTATGCTCATACCATGTATCACAGTGTAACTTTTATTAATTTGCATTAATTAATAACAATTTAGCTATTACCAATCTTATCTGCTTACAACGCTTCATTTAACGTTGAAGATATTAATGGTAACACACCTGTTCATTTAGCTGCCAAATTTAACATGGGACAAATGATCAAATATATGGTTCAAAGAGGTTGAGTAATATGTCATCACCATAGCAATATAAATCATTGATAGAGTATTTTATCATCAGGTGCTGAAACAAAAGTGAGAAATCGTGATAACGTACTTCCGATAAAAATTGCCAAATCTCAAAAGAATAAGGATGCAATAAAAAGTATTCAGTTGTTAGAAAAGAAAAATTACCATAAACTATTGTCATCGCCACGATCCAATCCAGATCGTGATTATAAAATATATTTATACGATTTTATTTACGAAAATCAAGATCGTTTACAACGTCGATTTGATCACGTACGTGTTCAATCAGCCGATCGTGTCCCCTCTCGTGAAATGAAAACAATTTTAGCTGAAGAAGGTTTTACTCAAATTCATCAAGATGATCTGAATGATTTAATTATATTACACGAAACAAATCCAAATGAATTTGACTATAAAACATTTTTGAGTGGAAAGTTATTCGTAGAAAAAGCGTATATGATGCAACAATTTTTACCAAAAAACAAGAAGAAAAAGAAGAAAAAAGTAGCTAAAAAACAAACTTCAATACCGATTGCGTTGAGGGATGAAGGACCAAGGACTTTGAATGGAAACCCACCTCTAGTTTATATTCCAAAACATCAATTTATTACGGATGTCAATCGATTTTCACGTGATCATATACCTAAACACATAGCGAACGATGATTCAGCATGGTATCTGGATAAAACAGAGCCAAATTTTGTGAGTATTTCTCATTACATTCGTACAATCAGTTTTCTCATACATATATTTTAGGTTCATATTAATAATGCTGCCAAACGCGGGGATCTTCACACTATGTTAGATGCATTCAAAATGGGTAAATAATCCTGTAAAGTAATTAATAGCGTAGAGAAATGTTTCATTTTAGGTGTTCCTGTTGATATCCAAGATAAATATTATACAACACCATTGATGGTAGCGAGTGCAAATGGCGATGTAGAAACAGTCAAATTTTTAATTGAGTGTGGGTGAGTGTATTTCTAGTTCCAAGAATTACTGAGCAAAGATTCGTGACAAAATCAAACTCTCATCTGTTCTGGATATAATAACATTTTTCAGAGCAAATGTTAATCTTTCTGATAATTTCAAGTGGACACCATTACATCATGCAGCTCATGCTGGTCATCTGGATTGTGTGAAGTTGCTTGTGGAAAATGGTGCAAGAGTCAATACAGAATCCATAACTAAAGCCACTCCGTTGAGTAGAGCCATTGAAAGTTCAGCATACGAAGTTGTAGAATATCTGTTGGAAAAGCGAGCTGTTGTGCAGCATGAAAATATAATGGGTAGAAAAAAATTTCATCTTATCAACTTTCACGAATAATTTCTACTTTTCTTACATTAGGACGATCGTTAATTGACCTTGCAAGTGACTTCGCAAATCCTCAAGTATACAATATTCTTCGAGAAGCACATGATAAGATCAAAAAAGGCAGTAAAAATACAAGATCTCTAAGAAAACCGCCTATGAAACCGAAAATACTGACCACCGATATGGTAACGTTTCATTTTTTCAGACACGCTAGGATTACTCAGTTAGACTAGGAAGAGTGCCCCAATAATAAATATTTTATGATCGTTACCCATCCGAAAAATATCAAATCCCATGGACGAGGATTCTTCTGTGCACGGTTTTTTCCAGAATTATGAACGGTTTGCTGTTTTGCATGCACAAAAAAATCATTTCACACTTTTGTGCACGATTACAGAAAGGTGCACTGAAAAGGTAGAAATGTGCATTGAGATGTTTTTGTGCACGGTTTTTGAAGAATGAGGTTAATCTATATCCTATTGTTTGATTATTAACTTTTCTTTTTCACCAAAAATATAACATGTAGCTATTTACAAATAAAAACTTCTTTTAGTATTCCCACCAAATTTACGATCGGCTTAATGTTTTTCCTGCCTTCTTTGGACGTCCACGCCTTTTTCTTAACACTTGTAATTTAGCTAGATGATTTTTGTTTAAAGAAAAAATATTCGAAGTGTATTGAGGACTGTGTGAGTTGAATTAATTCTCAAAGAGATGAACGTCATTCTACATCAATTTTCAAAATTTATCATACATTTCAGTCAATAAATCTAGAGATGGGCCGTAATACGTAAGCCTCGAAAGAAAGGAACGAACGATTATTCGTTATTCACTATACCAAACTATGTTTCATTTATAACGAGTAAAGAATATTCGAATAATGAGTATACGAATACA